GCAGCACACCTGCATACAAACTGGTTCGGAGGCAACATTTCACTCTCTCGACATCATCGCCCTTGCCTAATTTACTAGAGATTTAAGTATAATGAGTTTTTATCATCTCAAGACTAGTTTATCTTAAGCTTATCGAATACGTACATAGATGTTGCATTTACAATTGGTATAAAGTACAACGCTTGTATAAAAAATTGTATATTAAAACAAAAATACAGCAGTTAACAACTATAATTATAGTTAAGTATGAATATGTTTTTGACATTGATAGCATAGCTGTTGGGATATCGACCGCCAAAAACATCATAATTTCATGGTGAAAATATGGTTTGTAATTCTGAAAACACAGTTTAAATAAATCTTTTTAACAATTTACGTCTCGAGTAATAAGCGTTAAGTTAGACGAAAGACTTATGCGAACAGCCAGTACACGTAACGAATTTCACGGCGATTTGGCGATCGCCGTAAGCCGTAACCGATCAGGCCGACCGCGGAAGAATTTCGAAAGAAAACCCTTAGAGACATCTCGATAAGTGATGTTACGTTGACGCAGTACGTTGCGTCTGTGTCGCGTTTCACCAACGGATGTGTCAAAATAGTTTAGTACCTACCCATATTTTATATAAGCATGTCATCAGTTCTACAGAACGCAACAAGATAAAAGTTCCACCGTAAGATGTTTGATTCATAATAAAAATTTGTTACGTAATCTCGTTTTCGCTCTTGACGACTTCCTAGCAATGGCTTATCGCCACATTTTAATCAATTAGTAATGGACGTCATTACAATTAATACACATTTATGAAGGCCATAATAATAACCCGAACAGTATTAAGTAATATAAGTATCTTAAATATTTTAAAAACGATTGTTAAATCTAAAAACATGGTAGTGTTCTTCGCGTAAATAATGTATTAATTCGAAGTTATCCTTTTTTTCTGTAAACCACTGCTCTGCGGTTTCAATAACGCCAGTCGAGCAAGAAAAAGCGTCAAATAAGTCATATGGAAAATGAACAGAGGCAGCTTGTGTGACAAATTGCTTTGGATGTCGATCAAAATCAAAAATTGATTCTTGAGTCAAAATGACGGCTTATCAATTTTCAGCCTACTTAAGTATGAACCGTACATAAAAGTATATTGAATAAAAACAATAAAAAATCCTACAAATCCACTATCCAGTTAACAAGATTTCAGTAGAGAAGATTCGTCGTGAGAACTCCTGTAAAAATACCAAGTGGTTGTTTTATACAGCGTGTCTTTACAATCGCGACAATAAATGAACACACTTATAGGGGCTAACTTTTTAAAATTGTATTAATCATTTAAATTCTTTAAACATCAATATTTACAGAGTTATTAAATTTTCCAAAATAAAGAATTTTAGAACAGCCTTAAGTATAAAACTGTAACGTAAAGTTCATTTGTAAAGGTCACAATGCATATGAATGGGTTGAATGAATTGAAAAGAGACAAAACATACTGTTAGAAGGAGAGGCTTATAATGCGACGCTGTGGCGCGAGTAGTATAGGATGTTAAAAATTTTGTTTCTTTTTTACTTAATTAGTTTGTTTGAAAAATATATTTTTTAAATCATGGATTTTGTTTAACGTTAATATTTTTTTATGATTATTGGCAAGTGGCGTTAGACGTGTGTTCATTTATTGTCGCGATGGTAACGACACGGTGTATATTAAATGAAAATGTTCATTTTGTTTGTCTAGCTTGGGCATCCCAAGCTGAACTAACAAAATAGCCCTGAACAAAAGAGTGAAATATTTTATTAAAAAGTGTAAAAGAATGTATGTTACTATAACGCAAATGCATCAAAAGTTTCATAATGTAAAGGAAGTTTTCCTTGTAACATGCATTTGTAAAATTAGATTCGTAGTTGATAAGCTAGTTAAGTGGATTCATAATTAATTGACTTGTGATTATTAAATTAGGTCGAAACATTTTGTAATTGTTCATTATGTAATAGAAATAACGATAATGTTCATCACATTATCATTTTCTTTCTATTACGTAACAGTACCACCTAATTTAGCGAGATTCATTTTATGAAATGCTATCGGCAACAAGATCCATTAGACGAACAATCTCTTGTATAAATAAATACAATATACACAACGATACTAATTTATTCCGAAAATAAAACACGAGCTTCCAATCCAACCCAGTGAATAATGTAGTATCTACATTTATTTTATCTTAATAATAGATATTTACTCATATTTTTGTGCTGAGCGTTCAGATATGACCGACTTCGTTACCATTTTGTTGGCGGCACTTTAAAGCTTCCATACCGATTTCAACTCATCATTAAAACAACAGGACAAAAATAATTGCGATGCTCTTCGAATTCAAGAACATTTAGAGCAAGTGTTCATGAATATTGCCTTCCAGACTTATTGAAATTCATGAATTTCATTATTCAATATCTCGATCTCGCCATTGGCCGAGCGAAAGGAACGTTTAAACAGTGCTCTTTGTGCTTAGACAAAATGCACTGACGTAATAAAACGTGTGGAGTTCAAGGGTAACCTTCAGTTACTTTTGTAATGCGTCGGGGAATATGAATAAAAATGGATCGATAACCCAAGACAAGATACCTAGTAGAGTCATAAGTTCTGTCACGTTTATTATGAAATATTTAATACATGTTCGTTGAAAACCATTTATAACCCAAAATGAACTTACTAAAACATATTTGTATACTAATTAAGCTTATTCAAAATGATCCCCGCGATTTAAAATACAAGCCGTGCGCCGCTATTAGTCTATAGTATCAGGAACGAGGTCCATATCAATATCGGCAGCTGCCTTGATCAAGGATAACTGGAGTGAAAATCAGGATGAGGCTTTGAGTAAGCCTTTTCCTCCAATTGTTCTCATATTTTATCAGGACTGGATGAGAACCAATATTTGTGTCGGATGAAATGAACTAACTGGAATACCCATGAGAAAGGGATTCCACAAGATTTGCGAGGGCTGTATTTCGAACCACAACTGCATTCGTTTATCATATCATTTTGTATGTTGTAGCTCTCCTTCAAGGTATTTTTTTTATCTGAAAAAAGAATTACGTTTTTTACCGCGTAATGCTTCAACAAGACGCTCCCAAGTCCGAGGTCCATAAAACGCGAATCCAAACGATGTCCTACTTTTCTTCGATAATCTCGCAGCCTTAAGTCAACATCCTTTTCACGGTGGTTCTGTTTAACCCCATCTATAAGGCCACCAGTTTCTGCTGACGCACGGGATTTTATTGGATTCGCGCCTTCACGGCTTTCATCACTGCTGGAGTCTTAGTGCGAGGGCGACCACTTCCTTTTGTGTCTTTTACAGCATTAAAAATTCAAGTCTTCATAATGTGACAGAACTTATAATCTAATTGGTACATTATCAAACTTACAAAACATATGAACTCTATCAACTTAAAGAATTAATGTTTAATTAAATTTGAATATAACAAAAAATGTTCAACGTTTAAGTGTTTTGTACAGAAGTGAAGTTTTTAATTTTGTACAGAATAATTGTAGTCTGTACCTACGTCTAATAGATGTGACCATGCAATAGCCGCTTGTTACGCGGATGCTTACACGCCAGGTCATCTGCAGTTTCAACCTAGAGGTATTGGATACGAATCGCATCGACGTACATGTAAGTTTTTTTTTAATGAAAACATAAACTTTATTCTACGCCATATTTTGTTTGTATTGTTTTAATTATTAAATTTGATGAAGAACTATGTAAGTTATGGCTAACCGACAAGAAAAACCATCTTTTTCTTGTCGGTATTATGTTAATGAAATATTGCATATTCCACTAATACGACTATGAACATTATTGCAATTACAAGCAACGACTCTACTTGTATAAGTGAATCTTTACTTGTTGTATTTTTAATATTTCCAGTTGTGAAACATGGGACACTTACTCACGAAAACCTTCCCCCCCCCCCCCCCCTATATATCTAAGTAAATTCCCATGCTATATGCTATAGAACTAAGACCAAGCTCGCAGGCAGAGCTCTACTACAAATCATTGATATACTAATGAGGGAGCTAATCTATCTATGTATATAAAAATGAATCCCTATTTCTCTTGATCACGCGTGAACGGCTGGACCGATTTCACTTTTTTTTTGTTGTGTTTGTTATTATCACAAGGTTCTTATGAAAGAAAAAAATTAAAAAATTGCCTGAAAAAGTCTAAAAACAACACTTCTATATTCCCGTACAAAAGATTCGTAATAATACTTAAACTTAAAAGTCAATTTGAACTTTAATACCATACCATAAAGTTCAAGTGTTAGTGGAGGGGTTCCGGGAAGAAAAGTGACTGTGGTAAAATGTCACTTGAAATGTAAACGTCTCTTTGCTGCGCATCACTACATAGTATGAAACAAAGTCGTCCCGCTGTCTGTCTGTCCCTATGCTTAGATCTTTAAAACTACACAACGGATCTTGATGCGGTTTTTTTTACTAGATAGAGTGATTCAAGAGGAAGGTTCATATGTATGATACATTGCCCCCATGCGAAGCCGGGGAGAGTCGATAGTTAATAATAAAATTCAAGGTAATTGTTTACAATCTTACAATTATATTTTGGTAAACAAAGAGATACAAAAACTTGTAAAGACTAACATTGCAACGTAAGCGCGAATGTCTTGCAATAGCGATAGATATTGTATTAACTCAATATTTTCAATTTTGTTACAAAGTTTCACGTGTTATCGGTTTCTCATGAAAACAAAATTTTAAGCTTGATAAAGCGGGATCTTGCTAACAAAACATCTAACTTTAAATACTTATAATTCCAATAATAGAAACAAGTCCTTTTCATTATTCTGAGACAATTATTCAATACAACAAAGACATAGTTTAACAATAGTAGTCGAAGCTGTATTAAGAACAAGTCGGAGCAACTACACTACAGCAACGGAATTGAAAAGGCTCGTGAGGTGACTCAGAATGTAGGTAACTTAGCCCGCTTACCTGTACAAAACAGCAGCAATGTAAATGGTGAAAGCAACCGGTTGAGCCCCATGTCAACGCTGCAGAAACTTTCTAGTCACTTTTTGTCAATCAAAAAATCCTATGCGCCCATGTTCCGACTCATAATTTTTGTTTTTATTTACTTTGAAAACTTTATCTTCAACTTAACCGTTACACACGCGACGATATAATTGAATGTAGTTGCACAGGTATAAAAATAAAAAATAAATTATGAAACAACAAGTAATTCTCTCGATAACTCACATTAACTACACTTGAGAAATGTAATTTGTGTCATTTTGAGTTTCACAAAGTATCTTACGCGCGAACAAAAGCGTTTACAGTAACACGCGTTACTACAGAGCAACGGTTTGTACAAAGCTGGAAGCCTGAATAAAACCGGTTACCAGTGTTACTAGTAAAACTATTTTTACCTAAAATAAAAATATTTAGTCGCTTAGTGATACCTTATTTGAAAAATATGTCATCTATTACTCCAACTTAATAATAATAATATTTTTTTATATTCATCATTAAAATAATAAAACATTATTTATAGAAATATTTTATTTGTTGTTTTGTATTCATTTCCAGGTTTGTATATGCTAGGCTCATATACAAATAAATTTATGTTTACGTTAGTGAAGTTTTAAATTCTACAATAATTTTTACGTTAATTAAAAAAACATATAAAAAGATATAGGTATATATAATGTAGGTTAAAATCAAATATAGGTATGGCACTATACATAAATCTAGAAAATTTAGAATTCCATAGATAAATACAAATTTTTTGGATTTGTGCATTGCGAAATTTTATAAAAACCAAAACAAATAAAAAGATTCACCGTTTGCTTTTAATTATCGGCACAGAAAAATCTAGGGGAGATTTTGTCGGCTACAAGGTTTACTTTTATTTTCAGGAAAAAAGAAATGGATATAGCAACACCGCACGTACAGGGAGAGCGAGATAGATAACAACGATACGAATAACGAAGGAGGGAGACGAGGAAGACTGTGTCGTGTTGGTGGTAAAGATAAGTTAAGTTAAATACATCTTGCATCCTTTTCCAACCTATACAGAACTTTTGCTTAACCCGAACTTAAGTTGCGAATGATAATGAATTACAAATTATATTCTACAAGAATGTGAGTTGCTATAATATATAAACACATGGCAAAATAATTTCTGAATGGCTATGAAAATTTGAAGTGATTTATTCTGGCAAAAAAATCATAATCAGAATCATTTATTCATCGACATAAGAAACTTACATTTCATGTATCTGTAGTCATATTTTTTTAAATCTACCACTGTTTCGTAATGAGGTCCCTCTAGCGGAGAAGAAACGGGCGAAACTCTGTAGGTACCCTCTTTTTTTTCATTCAGTTTTTTTTCTTTAAAAAAAACTATTATACAACAGTATTCTTATTAAAATTATTAATATTTCTATCTACATATATAACATCCAACATATAAAATTCTTGTCACGGTGTTTGTAATTGAACTCCTCCGAAACGGCTTGACCGATTTTCGTGAAATTTTGTGTGCATATCGGCCAAGGTGGAGAATCAGACAAAATCTATTTTTCATCCCCCTAAATATTAAGGGTGGTCCGCCCCAAACATTTTTTCTACCTTACAAATAAGTTATATGACAAAACGTTTGCCGGGTCAGCTAGTTTTCATATATATATTGAGAGGCTAAGGTTAATATGTATATTTCTTTAAAGTTTTCTCTCAAAGATGCATTCAAATCTAGATTATAAATAGCTCTTATGGCCCTTTTTTGCAAAATAAAAATTGAATCTATATCGGCCGCGTGGCCCCATAAGAAAATACCATATGACATTATGCTATGGAAATAACTAAAATAGACAATTCTAGCTGTTTTTACATCAGACATCTTATTTTCCTTATAGCATACGCTGCAGAACTTAGTCTATTTGCAAGTTTGGATATATGGGGACCCCATTGAGGCATTGAAGCTTTGCATCGAGAGTTATTCCAAGGTGAACGTGAATATGGCTTATTCATGTTCGCAGAGATATAATAAGTATAAACTGCTACTTCTACTCTCCAACCATTTCCCTAAAATAAAATAAATAGTAAATTCTCAAACTTAAACCCAAATGTGAGCTTTCAATATTTCAGTACAGTTTTTGTTTTATTCATAAAATTAGAATGATTGTTTTAAAACGCGATTAAATCCGTAAACTAGTTTCATTTAATATGTATAATATTATAGAAAACAATATGATTGTCTTGTTAAATAAAATAATTAAATTTAAAATATTATTTCGTTTTATTTAGAAATGATAAAATTAAAAAGTTTAAAATGTTAATACAGGAACAATTTCGTTTTTAGTTAAAATGACAGCCGATTAATTTACTATCACAAAATAATTAGGTTACTTGTTTATGTAGACAAAGTTACATCTTAAAATGTTTTGTGACTGTTAATTGTGTATATACATACTGTATATGCATACTGTATATACATACTGTATATACATACTGTATATACATACCAGAAACTCATGTTTATTACATTGCGGATTTTATTACAATTTATTTTTAATAATCATGGGTTTTTTCTCTCATATCAAGTCTTAAACATTCCAATAGGAATTAATGCAGAATGAATTTAAATTTAATGTCTCATTATAATTTATTGTAGACAGATTTAGAGTTGTCGGAAAAACAATAACAAATATCTATAAGTTAATAAAGAGTCGGCAGCAATTGTTTAAGATATTTCTTTTATATCCTAATAAAAATTTAATACTTATCTCCTTATTTTTATCCACCCTGGGGTTTTGTATATTTAAAAAAAACTTTTTATACAATCATAAACTGAAACGAATTTAGGAAAACTTAAGGAGCGTATTTTTGTTTTGTTTATTACTTTTCTGTTACATTTGCTTTCACGAATTCATGATCACTATAAAATAGACATCGAAATCCTACCTGCCTACACAGAAGCGGCCGCTTTAAACGGAATTTTCTTGTATCTAGTATTAACTGATGTTTTAGCTTTCAGTCTCGAGACTAGTATAGCTTCATCTGACGCAGAAACGGTGGGCTAGCCAGAACCCACGGGTTTGGGCCCTCTGCTGTGGGTAGGGCCGCGCATGTGCTCAAGCGTGCATTTAAGCACATGAGCGGAATCGTCTACGGAAACCTTCGCAACATTATTACTAAAGCTGGTCCGCGTAGTAGTGGAAGCAGTTACCACCATCTTTGCGACCATGGCCACCGAACAATCGATATGGGACGCCACATTGCGTGTCATTGCTTCCTTACCCTCTGAGCATTACGGCGATTAAAGGAAGACGCCGGTAAAGTCGTAACTACGACCACAACCCTTTAAACAGTGCCGCGCCAATTTTATGGCGCCACAACAAGCCACCGGCCAATAGGCCCTAATCACCGGAGAGCCCTGAGTGACCCTTGCGAAGAAGCCCGGGCCATGAGGTTAAACCTCGACCCGCACCGGCATGCTTCATTTCAAGGCAGAGGAGAAGACCAGACGACGACGGCAATCTTCTAAAAAATATAAAATACAAGGAAAAATGAAACTAATAACGAAGGGTGTTGTTCGTGTTGTTGGTAATGGTAGGTTAAGTTAAATTCGTCTTTCATCCTTTTCCAACCTATATTACCAGACCTTATTTGCTGGCTTATTCAAGTTCGCAGAGATATAATAAGTATAAGTTATATTCGATTTTAGCTACTTCTACTCTTCAACCATTTCCCTAAAAAATATTGATGTGAACCAAACAAATGAGCCTTTACTGACACTTATGTGCCAGCAAAAACCAACGTTAAGGGTGGAGTAATTAAATTACAAGTGTCCCTTTGACTGGTAACTGATCTTAATAATGGCGTAATAGTTGTTTTCGGCTGGGGGCCGGTCAGGCGCGCAATTCCAGTGATTACTGGGGATGAGCGATTCCCGTCGCCTCGGGCACGTGCGCTCCCCACATCGCCCGGCTGTAATGCGGTGTCCCCACTTGGCGAAATTTTGCACCCCACCCTCTATCATTCCGTGTCAAATTGGCCAAATTTATGCAAGCGCCGTCTGCCTCTCGGACCCCACACTAAAAAGCGCATCAAATGTCTATATTCCGGAGGGGTGCCGGTATTTGAATAATAGATTACTTTGCCAGCAATATTTCGCTTGATGGATTATCTTGACGAAGGGATATTGAAACAAAGGAAGGTTTTATAGTCTCTTGAACACATTTTTCTTAGTAATTATGTTTTGGTCCAACGAAATCTTCTAACAACAAGACTGTACTGAAAGAACAATGTGTATGTAATAAAAAAATACAATAAGAGCAATATTTTGTAATTTGAATTATTTGTCTTCCGTCATAGTTAGGAAATAATAATAAATACATTACTTATTATTTAACGGAATATTTTTTGTAGGAAATTATTTTGCGAGCGATCTAAGTTCAATTCTAGGCAGATACAATCGTGATTTGGCAAAAGAAATAAAATAAGAGAAAAGTAAAACTTATTCGTCTGTTAATTATAAAACATGAATTTGTTATTTCAATCCTATTATTTTATAACTTTCAATATAAATAACATCTAAATGTAGTATTACATAATACGTAAATTACACGTTTTAAAAAGTTATTTGTTAGAGATTAAATGAAAGTATAGTTGTTTTCCAAAAAACGTGAAGTCATTAAAATCTACAGGTGTAAAATGTGTTGTATATAGAGTGTAAAGTCGAAAACTTTCCCTTTCGATAACTTAACAGAAATTGCGAGCGGATTCTTATCTTTTGACACATGAATGATTTTAATCCTGCATACCCCGTTTTCTATATTTCTAAGCAGTTAGCTGATCTTGTACGATACGATTATAGGAACACAGAAGGGGGAATGGGCTGTCGATGTGCGCGATGCAAAATTTACCCCAAGTTTTAATGAGACAGACATGCTTGGGGTTATACTCTCTCTATTTTAAAATATGTAGAAAATCTCTCTCTATTTACTATACATAGGATAAATGTAAATACTTCTAAATTGTTGC